ATTTCTACCTCACTCTCTGTCAATACATAGATACATATATCTGTTACAATGACTAATTTCTTAAATTATTAATATTAAAAAAGTACTCGGAAATAAGTATTTTCATCCAGTTGTTTAGTGAAAATCAGTTAGATATAACTGATCCATTATGATTTAATGTATCACATTGTATTGTTACAGTGTTGTACTTGTTCAGCTGACCAATACCAATAAAATGTATGTTACATAACTGAATTAAGTAAACTGGGGATTAAGTAAAAGGGTTTTATGTAACTTGTTAGATTTTCACAGTTAAGATTACGGATGGATCTTGTCTAGATCACCACCAAAAACAAGAAGTGACTTGATAGCTGTTTTATCTTAATATAGGACTTCTTAGCAGTAGGCATTTTGATCTACCGTGGGGTCGTGAGTGTAAACTGAAGTGAGATCCCATACTAGAACAAAAACAGATGTTTACTGTTTTCTAGTTACCAATGACTTTCTAACTAATATCAGTGTATGATATAAATTATAAAATGAGAATTCACAAAAGAATTAAATCGATCTTAAACTGAAGCAAACTTACAGTGTACAGCTGAGCCTCTGATGAATAAACTTCCGTAAACTTAAACCGTAAAACATTCCAGAGACTATGGAGCACTGCTTTTTAAATTTGATAAGCACATACAGTTATGTTGCTCTACTCTCAATTGGATATCTTAGTTACTAAGTCAATCAATCACATAGGAAAATTGAACACTAAAACAAAGTCAATGATTTATAATTAATCGAGTAAATAGAGGATTAATCAAACTTCTGTCAATTCTACTATTTTGATTCAAGTATTTATTCACTCCATTACTATCAACAGAATAAATTTTAAAAACGGTATAATTGATCTGATTAACTCAATAACCTTTAGTTTGCTTCTATCACCTAATTTTTATCAAACTCCTATACATATCAAAATATATCCAATCATTTTTTGTATGTACTCACCATTTTCATATGGTTACATATTTATATAATTTCATTTATTCCTTTCAGTAAATATTCCCATGATTATGGATAACATCAATGGTTGCATACTACTGAATAACTTTATGGCAGATATATATTTTGTCAAAAAGAATGTTTACTTTAAATAGCTAACAAAATTAAATTATGACATTTTGAGACAGAAAATATGGGGCACAGGAAGTAATCTATGTTATAATTTTAACATATGTATTGTTGTAGGTATTTTTAGAGATATAACATTTATAAAAATGAAATGAGGTTATGTTTGATTATGGTTACTAGGAAAATCCAGGATAAGTGATATTTTCCCTTGCATATCTATTCGTCAATTTTTATTTTTGAATTTTAATTAATAACTAATGTAATGTACAAGAGAATAGTAAACACCTCAATTCAAAGGACTACTTCCTATTTGAAAAGAGCGTATTAATTAATTTACTGATATGAACAATATGAATAAACTGTAACCTAACATTGGGTATGACTGAAAATCATTGTCATTATTTAACTTATGAGTAGTCATGTAGTCATTAACGAATAACTTCCAGGTGTAATTGGACAAAACCATTAAAGTCGTGAAGCAGTAACCTGTAAAATTTGATTTTGATTTTTCAGTGTTTTAAATTGACGAAAGTTGTAAAAGTTGACTATTGGATTGAACAGTATTGTGCAAAAAATGAAACCTACAATTCCTGTATCTCATCTCTAGTTCAGTTAAGAATTCACATTGTTAATAAGTTGAAGTTTAAGATACGACAACTCTCTTGTTTTTAATAGTCTTCACTGGTTCACCGCCTGATGTCAGTATATTCTGGGATGTACCTTCGAAAAAATATTTGTCTACCTAATCACATGTTATTATAAACCAGACAAACTGAAGTTTTATACCGCTCAGCTAAATATCGAGACTATACTTTTACCATTTAGAGTCTGGTAGCTAGACATGATTCTTTATCATAATATAAGACGTATTACATGAAAATATATCTTATCATTAAGTTATACCTTGTAAGTGTACATTTGACATTAAATGGAACTGATATCTATAAAAAATTTCACGTAAAGTGTTTTGATTCTCTTTAACTCCGATTATCTGAAACTACTCATTGTCATGAATATATATTGATTAATACAGAAGGAACGAATTGAGCGGTGAAATTTCTTTTCAATTAGTTTTTCATCATGGCTCTACACTAATATATATATATATATATATATATATATATATATATATATATATATATATGGTTTACAATAATGATATAATACCCATTGAATGGATATGTTACGTAATAATTACATAATGACCTCGATGTTAATTTAAAGGTCATTATGTAGTTATTACGTAACTTATCCATTCAATGGGTATTATATCATTATTATAAACCATATATATATATATATATATATATATATATATATATATATATATATTAGTGTAGAGCCATGATAAAAAACTAATTGAAAAGAAATTTCTTCGCTCAATTCGTTCCTTCTGTATTTATCAAATGTCCAAATGGGAATTTTCACTATATATTGATTAACGGTGTAAAGTAATTTATAAGTTATAATAACAACGACTATGTTTACCGTTTCAAAATATTTTAGCTCTTTATCCATTCAAGAAACTTAAAAAGTAACAGTATCATTAATTCAAGTAGGCTATTTCTCACCAAGTATTCATTATTATGAGTGAAACGTGATTTAGGTTGTAGGCTTTAATTTACAACAACATTTACATAGACAAAACATATTTAAAATGATAACTAACAATACTTAAAATGACGGTGTCATCTGTAATATGTCAAATACAACTGTAGTTTGTGAATAGTAAAGTTAAATCGGTGAGACTACGGACGACCTTTGAGTGACGCTAAACTGACCTTGACAGTGTTCACCTAATAACTAGGACCAAACGAGGGTTATAAACCTGTGTGAGGAATTAAAATGATGGTTTACAGTTGATGGTTAGGATTAAAAATTAGAAAAAGAGAATTCAGCGAAGGAAATTTTCTTTTCGACGAAATCATTTACTTAAGTTGTAAATTCGTATATACAGTTATATGGAAAATGTATGTCTTTAGTGGGATATACGAATGTACAGCTCTAGTAAACGATTTCGTCGAAAAGAACCTTTTCGCTGAATTCTCTTTTTCTTATTCAATAACAATAGGGGTTATTTTAATTATTAGGAATTAGATTTAGACTTTTCATTACGAATTGATATCAGGTATAATGCCAAAACTCTATTTAGCCAAATGGATAGGTGAATTTAACGCCAAAATCCAAGACTTATTATCTTATACTTGATTGGTTCGTTCATAAATTATAGTCTCGCCGCTAAAACATAAATGGAAAAATATCAATCTCAGTACTAGTTTTATTAATATAGTTACAATACAATTATCATAAATATGATTCTAGTAAAAGTCGGTATTATTCACCCCTAAAATGCATCATCTATCTATATTTATGTAAAAGTTTCCAGTTATCCTGTGAAATTATCTTAGTTCTTGACAAATAACAGTTTCAAATGTCAGATATTACTTCTCTCATAATAATAATAAAATGAGGTTAATACATGTTGGCTAGAATTTCCCTTGTACTAATAAAACCATTATGAATGAAAATAGCATACTGAACATGCGTATACAGAAAGAAAGAAAAAAATAAAGATTTTTAAAATGAAAATGTTATCAAGTGAATAATGACTATGTAAGTCATGGATAAAAAGAAATATCTTATGAAAAGTGAACTAATGTTTCTTTTTTTCTGTTTGACCTAAATTTTGTTTTTATAACTTTCACTGGTATAGGGAATTAAATAGGCAAGGTTTATTCTTGAAATAGATTATACAACAAACAGAAATCAGGTCAAATAAATATTTAAAAGCTACTTTCCCTACTTTGTTGGGGGATATTTTTTATTATCTTAATCAACATAATTATAAATTACTAAGATAAGTTAGACAATCATTGAAAACCTGAAAGTACTTGACAGCTGTTCAGATGTTCTACTAGGAAGTTATGATAAGTGGATCTCAAATTCTCCTAGATTAAATAAATTAAGATTTGTACACCTCTGAATCCGGCTTGTCAGTCTCGAGTCTTGGCATTTGAGCTTAAGATAGAAGGCCATAGGTTTGATCCTCTATGATGGTGTTGTGATTGCACTACTTTGGTGTTCTATACTAAAATGAAACAGCTGTCAAGTGCTTTCAGGCTCTCGGTAGTTATTTAAGATAGATCGGTCCGTGACCTCAGTGACATATAATGACCTCCACAACCCTCCGTACTGATAATTATAACTGTGAAACGTCTTCTAGTGATTTCCGAAGTATTTTTGAAAATGTCTTCTCTATGAATTTTGAATGTATGTACTATTCTAATTAAAAAAAACAGTACACTAACAAATCATTAACAACAAAACTGTTTGGTTATCAGTACTTGATAGACCAAATACTGTAATAATCACATTACTAAATAATAAACATAGTATATGGTCGGGACATCTGGATTTCAACTAGATACCTTGACAATTTTTCTAGCCTGATTTTATTAGTTTTTATAACTTGTAATATAGTGCAAGCTATTTCCTAGTAATTTACATGTTACTGTAATGTTATAGGATAAAACAGGCTAAAAATTCTAAGACTTCTGTGCAGAAATCCTAGATATAACTTCGTAATTTGTAGGCATTTTAAGTGTCAGGATCAATTTCAAGTTAAACGTACCGATAAATTTAGGTATACTTAAAAGTGGTTAGTTGTCTGACTGAAAATAACTAACAGCTTCTAGCATGTCAATTGAAAACATTGAAACACTTTGTGGTAGTCGTCAATGTTAGAAAACTTAGAAAGTAACCAAGAAACAGTTGTTTGTTAAAATAACAACTTATTTCAACTGTTCTTAAATAATAAGTTTATAAACTTACTACATAAGACACTACATTCGATGGCCTTTAACTAATATTTTTTCTTATATCATTTGCTATTTCAGATTGTCAGCACGTTATCCAGGGGATGTCCAACTCATGGTCCACACTTGATTTTACATCATGATGAACATAGTAACTTCTCATCACCGACAAGAATTTACGCTGTCAGCTCAGTATTAGAATCATTTGGTAATTTTACAACAACTATAACAACATCACCTACTTCAACTACTACAAAAATACTAACTGATCAAACACAAACTGCATATGAATTAAGATTAGAACCAATTTTATCTGATGTTACATTAACATCAACAACATCGACCACAGATGATGATGGTCCCGGTGTTGAAAACGGTGATAATGAACATCGAACAGATAATACAGAAACAATCTCATGGATTCCTGTTTCAATACTTACTGAAAATTTTACTACACCTACTCATCAATCAGAATTTATTTGTAATGAGAATAATTGACTCAGTCACAATTACTTAACACTAAATAAGTATTGATCATTATAGTACTTATTATTGATAATATTTAATGATCTATTTTTGCAATTTCAAAACAGTAATTATTCCTCAGTTTATAGAAATAATTAAAATTTCAAAATTATTTGGGTAAAGTTTCAATATGTGAACACTTATATATAAATATCCAGTAACAAATAATTTCATCACTGATGGGGGGGGGACACAAAGTTATAAAATAAATTTCATTTCATATGGATAATACTTCTAGAGAAAGCACAACAAAAAGAAAACAACTGTGGAGAGAACACTGCCTCTAGATTTATATATATATATATATATATATATATATATATATATATACAAATGGTAGTTCTTCATTCTTTTTTTTAAAAAAATAATAAAATCAGTATTTTTTTGATTAATTCATATGACGTGATGTAAACTATCTTATTATGAAAAAAAAATGACATTTTGAAAAATATTATCGTTTTGTCAATTGAGTGGTAGTGCAAAAGAAGTATGCGATAAAGAAATGTTTACTTTATCAAGAGTGTTTTAAATATTTGAGTTTCTCAGCCAACTAATTGTATCAAATGGCACTTTTACAGTATAATTGATTTATTGATTATTTAACGGACGAATGAATCAATTAACTGATGGAATAATCAACTAGTTTAATGAATACATCAGTACAATAGTATATTGTTTTGACTTTCTCAAATAATTTAATAGTTGAATTCATGGAAAACTTTATTTTCCATGATGGTCTAGCTTCAATCAACTCATGAATTCAACTATTGAATTACTTCAATCTCTACAAAATCCTCTTTCTGATAATTTCCCAAATAAAACAATTTTGAGTAAGAATCAGCGGTTTTTCCATTAAAACCTTTATTACTAATTGGTCAATATTTTTCGCTTAAGTTGTAATCTAACTTCTAGTCTCAATGATTTGATATTGTGATATACCTTATTTGATGTTAGTTGATTAGAACAAACTGGAAGGAAGTTCTGAAATTATACTTAGTATTTGCTAGTACTTGTCAGCATGGTATATACGCAAACTTGAGGGAACTAATGAAAATCAAACTTATGTTGCTCAATATCATTGTCAGAAGAAATAATATGAAGATCTTCAGACTATGAATGACTTGTAAGACAGAAGTATCTTTACTAACAACAAGGATGATTCTCTGTGATTGTTGTGGTTGAGTTTCTATGGACCTTTTCTTTAACTATAAAATTAGACAATTTCTATTTATTAATATTTATTCAGTGTTAATACTCTTCATATATAATAATTCACCTACAGTAAGGTTCATGAAATTTTCCTCGTAATATTTCTTAACGTTAACTGAAAGCGAATTTTTCATTTATTATTAACTCCCATTATAAAATAAAATATCAAATAAAAAGATCTAAATAGCTTTCGGTGTTGTTGAGCTATCTGAATTAGAGGATTTGGTTGGGTAGCATTCATCTTTATTATGGGAAACAACTTCTGTACTTACTTCATCTAGAAGTGAGCTTCTTAGTCATTCCATTAATTTTAAATCAGCTTGTTCTGGTGGACCTTATTGTTATTCGTTTTTGTTGCAACTTACATTATCTTCAGTCGTCTTTGTATTTTGTTCTGTAGACCTTAGACCACGTTGTTGCTTGACTCGTCTTTGCATGTTGTAAACATCAATGACGTTGTCCATAACGAGAATGAATGCTCAGCAAACGGATCATCTAGCACACAGAACTTAACGCCATCAAAACCATTCACCTAAGCTATAAACCTTCTCCATCACTTCAAAACTAAATAGTATATATTCTGTAAAATTTTGTTTTATGAGTAGTTATTAAGCATCGGTTAATTTATTAAAGAACCTCCACTTCATGGATTACTTACCGAGTGAAACAAAATTCTAATAAATATCTAATAACCATTCACTTCTTTCCTCGACTTTGAACTTTAAATAAAGATTTTCATGTTTATGAAAAAGTCTGTTGAGAAAAAAATGGAAGAAAATAATATGCGTAGTAAAAATTTCACCACGGACATTTCAAGTTCACTACATAATCTTCAGTTCGTTCTGGTGTGAATTCACATTATAGGACTTACCAATTGTTAAACAGTAGTCGTCAATGAAACCTTTAATTAATCCTATTAAAATATCGAGGGAACAATACAAGTTCAATGAAATTGTCATATATTTGTTTGCTGTCATAAGCTAGATGAATATAACATACATTGTATAGTTACTCTAAAACAACGATATGGCCCTTAATGAGACCATATGTTATGAAATAAAATGCTAAAAACCTGCATATAGATACCTTAAAAGTAGTCATTTATTCAGATCAGATAGTAAATTGGAGCGTTCCGAAAAGACCTGCATTTGTGTTTAGGGAATAAATACCAAACTCTAAGGTAATACAATTCGCAAGTGTAACAGCTTTACGCTAAGAAGCTAAAATGTGTCAACTTACCACTGTAATAGTAAAATGAACATTTTATTTAAATTCCTTTCGGTTAATAATATCATTTTATGCTAGTGCTACTTAGTTGATTGTTATTTTATCCACTTCCTAATAGATCTTTTAATTTATTATTTGATCTTAACTTAATTCTTAAAACTTGAATAGTTCGATTCAAAGTTTCTATGATTATTCAGTAACTAATTAACACACTAGTTTTAATGATTCCGGTCTCATTTTATCGGATCTTAAGTAAATGAGTCAGATGTTGGGGATTGTAATATAATCTGGTTACTTGGTTATTAACAGAATTCTACATAAGAAAACAATTCAATAATGTCATTAACTCTGAAAGAGTTCAAATTTATTTTACAATAGAAACAACAGCAATGCTAAATAGTCTAGTTTAGAATGATTAGGGTGATCATACATAAACTGTCGGTTTATTCCGATTTAGCATCGTTATTCAACTTTTTGTACTTGTTAACCTTCGTTTAATTTAGATTTTTATTGTCTTAAAACATTTAAGAACCCAGAGGATGATTTTATTTTTTATACATCATTACTTAATCGACTTTCAGAGAATTTTGATTTGCATTTACTTATGGATGTGTTTTATCAATTTATCTGGGCTTCACTTATCATCTCACTTGTATATCCATACATGAATTCGAGGTCTTAAAGCATAGGATTCACACATAACACTTTAAGAGTTTACTAATGAGGGTTAACTCATTATTAACCTTAAACAAGATATAAAGATGATGAAGTTTTAAAAGCACCTACCCAATGCTCAAAATCCTGTTTTGTTTAAAGCATGCGTAGTGTTCCATCGTTCCTCTAAACCTCTCACTAGCTACTGCGACTGTGATGCGTTATTTATGCGTGCTTAAGAACTATAAATGTACAAACGGCGGCGAAATCAGTCATAAAATGGGTTTTGCGAACGTCCCAAGGCCCCATCATACCGTCATTTTCGTACTTCTAATTACCGTGTACCCAGACAAATTAATCCTATTTTGCGACCAGAACTAACTTCAAGTCCAGACGTAATTTTGTATCGATTAATGTATATTCTAGTAATGTCACTTCGTCATTGGATACTGAGTCTGACGTTACTTTGATTCCTCATAGCACTTAGCACGAACTACATCAGCCAAGTATAGATCCCGAAACATTGTGCAAAGACTACTTCTGGTGGTTTGGTCAAAACTATTGAGTTAATCAAGTGTTTTATTCGATTTGATGTTCTAGTAATTAAACCCAAACATTGTTTCACCGATGTACTACTCGATTTATCGCGTCTCGATTGGATAATGGAGTTAAATATATTTGAGCAACCATTTAATTTTATTAGTGATCCAGTTTAGCCTTGTCCCAGTCTTCATATTTCCATATAAGTGATAAACTTGAGTAGACGTTCTCCAGTTTTTTAAGGAATAATACTGCTTACCGTACGGACGTACGCTTAGAATGAAATTGAAGATCAATTTTTCATAGAAACGTCGTTCTATGTGCAACCTAATCATTAGTGAACAAAGAATTCAACATATTGAAAGAATTGACTATCTTTCATTTGTTTAATTCTTCATGAAGAGCGCTCATTTTGATGAGAGGAAAATAAAGTGACTCAAAACGACAAGGCATCGATTTTTCAATTAAACTGAATTATTTCCTAGATACATATTGTTATCAACTCCCATCTCCAGACGATATTTTAGAACTAAATGGAGTCAGTTTGTATATGCAGGTTGATCTAGCTAGTATTCACCTGCAGGTAGCAGTAACAAAGAGATCTGAGAATAAATAATAATTTATGCACGCCAATGTTCTGTTTTATGCCCTCCTACTGTTTTTTGTCGGGTCCCTCCATATTTCAGCCAACTATATATACTATAATTGCTAACGTTACACGTGTTCTTAGTCACAAGAGCCAAATACCCCTTTTCGGATTAGCCTGAGCAGATTCGTTAGATCGTTTATACAGGGTACTTTGTCATACCAAGGACTATAGTTTGAAAGTGAAATGATAAAAATGTATGTATGTGAAAAATGTAATCAAATGTTTGGTATTTATTGTCAATCACCGTAAGTCTTAGAATTAAGAAAAGAATTTTACGAATTAGTTAATAAGTCCTAAATTTGGATTTTATTTGTGAAGGTATTGATTCGTAAGTCGCATTACCGATTCTACGGTAAGTCATTTTCTCTCGTGCAATAGCTTTGTAGCGAACACGTATTCATCATTTATTCTAAGAGAACGAGATTGTTTACAATCCCATAGACGGATTATATACCTCGTCACTTCTTACGGGAAGTTATCCACAGCGAGTTGACCATAAATCATACGAACTCAAACTTTGAAGTGGTGAAAGTATGCACCTCAAAAGGTGTTTTTAGTTGGATACAGTTCACTGAGCTGGTTTAATTCTAAAACTTGGCTAGAATTATGGCATTCGAGTCAATCTGTAATCAATGGGGACATCTATGTAGTTTTGATTCATTAATCTATTTGGGGAAGGTTAACCAATTACTTGGCCAGAGGTCGTAGAAAACTCAACATGACTGAAAACTTCAATTTTTGATAAGTATCAGACTTAAATATGAATATATCAATAACATGGAATTGCATTTAACAAAAAAGAAACAGCTTATAAAGAAATTTTATTTAGTCGCCTTCTATTTAATAAGAACTTAAATTGTTATATCCCGATGAGATTAATGAATGGTAATTGCTGGAATCTATGTCTGGACCAATACGATATATATATTGTATAATTGTTAAGTAGCTGAACTATGCATTTTCATGATCCTCTTGTTAAAAGCTTCATTTTGACCCAAAGTCTATTATTATGCAATTTACTGTTCTTAAGTTCTGCGCAGTCTATTAATTACAATCTCCCACATTGACAGCCACTTTTAGCTAGATATTGTTCAAATGTTATTTTCTATTTTATGGTACGATGTGGTCTGTTTGGTTTGTATATAAATCCAGTATCTTGAAATACATGGAGGCTGAAATCGGTGTTTTGGCAGAGCTAGGCAAGAAGAAGGACCGAAAAAAGACTCTAAACTGCTCGTACAGGTTTATGCGTCATTGGCCTGGTCGATAAATCATTTTTCTCTAATTGGCGATATCATTACGTCATATATTGATAGGGGCACAAGACCAGAAGTTATAACAAAAATAACCTCTTTAATTTATTCAAAATAATAAAACAAAACTTTGCTGAATTTTCATAAATTTAATCGAACACATTAACCGTTAAAATTTTAAAAGAAATTAATGTATCTATTAAATCGGAAAAAAACACAAAAATAATCTCTCCATATTTTCTTAAATGGAAATGAAATATATTTGTAAAAATTAGTGATTTTTTAAAAAGAAAAAAAAACAATATTCTACCAGATAGAAACTAAATTTCGTAACCATAATTTAAAATCCTTTTTACATAACTCCATTCATTTCTTTGATCATTTTGTTTATATTTTTCAGAGATAAAATTTCACAATAATCGATTTAACAAGTAAGAAATTTTTAATGTTGACAATTATTGTTATTTTGTGAAGTTTTACGTCATTTGCAACTTCTAATGTTATATATATATGTATTTTTTTTCAGGTATCACTCAACTATTACCACAATGTTCATTCTGTATACACCGTGCCATACATTCAGGATAATACAAAACCAGATTATTTAAACGAATACACTAAGGACTAGTAATAGTGTTTATATAGTAGGTTATTTGCATTTTTCATTTCGGACTTTTATAATTTGTTTCAGTGTGATGAAATTGCTATGGAGACCTAAATGAGTCTACAGCTCACCAGAACTAAGGATTTTCAGGTCATTAATACATCCGATCCCAAACTATCTAACCATTCTCATTTCAAGGTTCTCTAGAGACCGAAAATCGTTTTTCACGGATTCAGGTGAATATAGGCTATAAATATTTCGTGTGGAATTTTGGTTACTTGTAAGTAGCCTAAGATAAAACACTAAATATTGTAAATGTTCTAGTGATGCAGAATACTTTTATGGCCATCTTTTTCCAAAATCAATTTTAAGCATGTAATTAATAGCAAACTTCTAATGTCATTCACAAGAACCAATTGAGTAGATCCGAAAACCTGATATCCTCTCTTTTCACTGCCAAGTCTGTTCACTAACGATGTATCTGTACTGATCGATCTAGGTACTAATTAGCCACTTAGTATTAACCATTATCATCTTGTCTATGTTTAAGTTACACTGAGGACACTAATTTAAGTGACTTGACTTCACGGAGCACTATTTTTTATGTTAGGCAGTTGGATTTAATCGATAAAAAGACTTAAATCGACACTCGTTACTACTTGATAATCGTTAATAAGGCGTTTCTATTATCTTGGAGAAATTTATTTCCTACGTAGGATTCTAACACATAATGTGAAAAGATTATCATGAGCCATTTTCGCCGTAAGCCCCATTAGATTCACTAAGATCAAAGAACTCTTGCTGACAACTACGATGATTATCTCCTGTGCATTCAAAGCATGATATTTGTAGATAACATTATATTTTCAGTATTTACAGCCTAATTTTTATCGACTAATACAAGATAGTGTGTAATTATGTTAAAAAGTAAATAAGGAAATATTTATTTGTATTTATATTTATACATAATGAATAATAAGTCTCTATTGAATACAGTACCATTTACATGAATTTCATGAACAAATGAAAGATCATACAGCTATTGTTTAACTCTGTTTATGCAGTATTTAAAAACAACCTGTGGTGTAAATAACAGTGAACAGGTAAATACTGATTATTTACAAATTTAGACGAATAAATCTATGACACCTATTTTGATTGTTGTTTAACAGAATCAGAAAGCTGAAAATCATCTCTTTTTCGTATGTGTACACTAATAATAACATGAAGATGTGTATGAAAAGAAATGCAGGACGAAAAAATAAGCGTATTATCTTCTTTGAAGTGAAATGAATGGTTCCAAAACAGAAGTATGAGAATACGATCTTCTCTATATCCATACACGTCGAGATCGTTATATGTATCAAAACCATCAATTTTAATTGTTGTCCAACAAACGACTAGTTGCAGGTCGAACTGAAATTAGAAAACGTTATACACAAAAATGCGTACACAGTTCAATTTATAAACTAGATTAAGACAAAATTGAATTAGTGGAAACTTTACCTACTGATTTAAAAACAAAACTATCAACACAAGTGATCTACAAGTTCGAACCATGCATCATCGACCGATTTAGGTTATATATTTGAATCCCATTCCACGTACTTAAGCTTGAACACATGGATAGAATCACTGGCTTTCATAGACAGTTCGTTATTCAATCAGTTACAGTCAACGTAGAACCTGACAACAATGTGTATTGGTTAAAGTTTCCACAACACGTTATCACGAGATTAGATTAACAAGATAAATTGCAAAGAAGATCGAAATGATGTAGTGACGATGATACAGAAGAAGACTAACCATCGGGGCTATGGTTCGAAAAAAACAGAGTGAAAAAGTATGTATGAATAAATACTGAAACTCAAAACCTAGAGAACGCTAATGTAACTGTACCATTCTAATTGATTCTGAGCTGTGTTACACAACATCTTCAACCACAGGCTACGATTATAATCTTTATCTACTATCAAAGCTAGTGTCAACAGCTAATGATTTCGTGGACTGACACCACATTTTGGTTTGGCTGCCCCTAGCTTCTCTCCAACTTACTCCTACACCAGCAAGCATTCACCATCGAGGTAGGCAATGGTTAGACATACGTAATATATGTTCAAACTACCTCAATGGATAAAACTTCATAACCTTACCAGCCAATATGGCATCATTTGGTATTCTATGCCCTACCTCAAAATTCTGCACACGGTTGTTCCATGATACGCGAGCAATGTTTTAAAGACACTTATAATCAAAAACCTACAACGTATGAGTATCTTTTAGTTCCATAGACCGTGTTTTTATAGAGTAATGAAGAGAGAACAAAAGGGAAATATGCTTACTCCGTAAGTATACAATGTGACTCAATTCTGAGTAAGTAGACCTATGTATTTGATGAATTGTTTAAAATAACTAAAATACTGGTGCATGAATTAACTCCTTTGGAAGTTTCTCTTAAACGTGATAACCTCCAATTGTTCCATGCTTTTTTCTGAGGGCATACTATTTATTAACAATAATACTAATAATGAGCTATCCATTTATTTATTTACTATAACAAAAGCAATTTCTCCATTGTAACAAACCAAGTATAGTCTTCATTTATACTTCTATTTTCGTGATTTGTCTCATTCTCCCACTTGTAATAGTATTTCATCTCATTGTTAGCTTTTATTATACACCCTACTTTCTAAAAAATTTACTGCACATTTTTTCCTAATTTTCTGAAGAGTTGGTTGTGAGTAACGCGCTAGCGCTTGAAGTTATTCGGTTCGAGTTTTAGTGTAAAAATCATCACTGGATGAAGATGTAGACAGCTGACGAGTCTAAAACAGAACGAAAAGCTTGTTATGGATTCCACTGTTAGCCACAGTTCACTTTTACCTAACATTTTTGAACCTGCTCAAAAACAAAAATCTGTTATTTCAATAATGTAGACTCGGAAATTTTTCATCAAGTATTACAAGTTTAAATTACTTAATAAATCTCGTAATCAACATTTTTACTACCATTAATTATTGAAACAATGATTTTTAAAAAACGGATAACGAAATGTTACTGATGATGATTAGGACAATATACAAATCAAAATAACAGTTTATAAGTATCAATATCAAGGTTGGACTTGATAGTTCAGAATAAATTGAGCATTGGGTAGAGAGTTAATAAATATATTTTTTGTTATATCCCAATGAGTAAAATAATTGTATTTCTGACGTTTCATGACTTAATATTTACTCTGAAGAGATAGCTTACATTAGAACACAAAACGTCAGAAATACCATTTTTCTACTCATTGGGATATAACAAAAAATGTAGTTAGTATCAAAATAAAAACTGTAATAAAAAAGAATTTCCAATTTAATTTCAATGTTTTTTACTGATTACTCACTTGATATCACTGCTTCACTTAATTGTCGCTTTATTGTTATACCTGTTTTCGTAGCTGAAATATTATTGGTACCATTATTAGTAGCAGTAGTAGTATTAGTAGTAGAATTGAATGAAGACGACGGAACAGATATATGACGTTTACAATCATTTATTGAAGATTGAGAAATAAATGCAGATAAATTTGGTTTATTGATAGACATTGTAGTTGAATTATTATTGTTGTTAGCAGAGTTACTTTTAAAAGATTCCGTTTTTTGATTAGATGATTCAATCATTCTAGGTGTTTGTATGAGTTGAATATTTCTAAGAGGAGTAACCTCTAAATTAGATGAGGTTGGACTTTTAACTTCATTAATTATTATAGGTTTATTCACAAATGTTCGAACAGTTGACCTAGTTCCAATTAGTGGAGTTTGACGTAATTGCTACATTGAATTGAATTTACAGAGAGAAAAACAATGAAATAAACACAAAGTAAAGAGATTTAGTTTGAAGCAAATATATCATTTAAATTTCAGTTTGTTTCAAGGTTATTCTGGTTATACTTAAAACAACTGTATCAAATAAATGTGAATAACAAGTATTTAAAATAAAATGTTATTTTACAGTAACTGATCAGTTTCAATAAATTAATAAATTTGAAACTCAATGTTATTAATATTACGCCAATAAGAAATAGATACTTTGACATTCTTATGTACCATATAAATCCTATATGAATTACATTCAAATGATCTATTCATCAAACTGATAAGTAGCTTAAAATAAGGCAACAATGTTTTGAAAGATAAGAAAAAAAATCCCTTCATTTCAGATTTTGGTTTATGTCAGTAAAATGATTTGGATAATACTGTTGGATAGTTTATTAAGTAGTGTAAACCAATTCGCGTACACTATTCAATCGCATTTTTCAATAGTAATTTCGGGTTGGTTAAAAAATATTTACGAATGTTTGTACCTTTATTAAATAATACTAATACTACTACTACTACTACTACTACTACTACTACTACTACTACTACTACTACTACTACTAATAATAATAATAATAATAATAATAATAATAATGTCTTCTGATATTAATGTGGCTCAGTGAGATATCAGGTAGTAGAAGCAATCCTATTTGAGATTAATTCACGTTATTTAGTGCAGTCTGTTAGTTATTATCATAAGACTTCATTTGGTTATAAGCCAGATTGAGATTAATTCACGTTATTTAGTGCAGTCTGTTAGTTATGATCATAAGACTTCATTTGGTTATAAGCCAGAGTGATTAGAATGTCAAATCGCACTAATTAACACTGAATGCCATACGTAAATGTATTGCTCTGTGCCCCGAAAATACTTGAATACAAACAGTAAAACATAACAATCAAATATTTACAATAATCAGGCAACCATATAATATGGTGTTAAATACTTAGAAAATGCAACATACAGTAACTGGAGCTTTACTATTATGAATAATTTTAAGCGATAAAAACACAAAACTTCATCCAAAATTTACTTATTAACATTGTCACATACAACTAAAGCATAAATCGATATCACGTCGAAAAAAATATACGGAAGTGAACAAAGAGGATATAAGTTAATATGAAGTAGGCTTATATAAATAAAGTGATAAATAGTCAATATTTAAGGAATGATAAAATTGATGAACGTACTGTCACTATTGCGATCTATTTCTAACCAGATAACTTCAAAAGCTTTTTATTCCTCTAAGATACTACAAAGCTCAGAAAACAACTTTTATAAGTTGACAAAGACTTATAAAGCTTATTAAACGGATTGAGAAGACGAGTGGTTATTTTTACTGCGCGGCGTAATCATTTAAAATAAACGAATGACTACTGTCAAAGTTTGATGATTTTCATTTATCTGTCTACTGTAGCTTATTTCTGGTCTATAAGTACACTTTAAGTATACAAGCAGATGAAAACTACCCACTAGGGGGGTACTAGTTCAAAGACTGGAAATCCTCACTTTTCCGATCGTGAAGTCAATAATTTAAATCCAATAAGTGGAAAACAAATGTATTACTTCTTAAATAGACGAGATAGATAGTACAAATATTTTGATTGCGTAAAGTTCCCATTAGAAAAGAGGATCAAACAACAAGCCATTGTATCCAGATGTACTTATCGTTAAAACTAAGACATGAAAATTATGGACTTAAATGTATCAATCAACGTACACTGATCAAACCCACAACTACAAAACCAATAACTTACAATATGAGTTACTTATAAAATTATTCAAAAATTAGAAGTCAACTGTTGGAAGTAAACAAAATCTACTGTACCATATGAATGGATATAGAAAAACTGTGAGTCTTGGTAAACACTTAGGTTGCAGAATATAATCAATAACGACAACCAAGTCAGTTATGTCTAACTTTTGAGTTAACCATACATCAATGAACATTGCTAACTCTTTATAAATATAACCTTCTACCCATTCACTTTATCCCATATTACTGTTCGGCATATAAATATATATATATATATATATATATATATATATATATATATATAATGAACACCGACTTACTTTAATACGCTTACTAACACTTTCCCCATCGTTCGATATAGATACAGCAGGATTTGTTTTATCAGTAACAGTAGCAGCCGCCAATGCCATCACTTCATCACGAGAAAGCATGACCACACGTCTTCGTGTTTCGGGTGTAGAAGACTTAATTAGTAGAAACAGAAATAATGAAATTCTTCATATTTAATCTTAAAATCATAGGGCTAGTTATATGGTGTTCCAGTAATATTACTAAGTCGAAGAATAAATATCCTGTTATACTATGTTATAATGCAACTGCTATACAACACTTAGAATATTCATCTTAGAAATTAAATTTTGTTGCTAGAAAATATTAGATATAATTGAACATAGTAATCAACTTGCTGGACTCATTCTTGAGTTACAGATTTCTGTGAGTGCCTGTGATACTAACCGCCTATCTAAACTGACATAAGTGAGGCTATGTTCGAAATTTTCAGAATACAACGGTGCTAAGACTAAGGATAGATCTGTTGCGAAAATGCTTCCACACCAAACTGTCCTAATAGAATTTAGTTCAGTCCATCAAACTCACATAGATTCCATAAAAACAAGTAATGAGATCCTTGTTAATATTAAAAACTGAAGCTCGGATTGTTTGTGGATTCGAATATTATTGTTGTGACGTGCGGTGTCCGAGTTTGGTTTTGATACATAATCTTCCTATGTAAGAGCCCAACTGAATAATTGAATGAGGAGGAAGTCTATTGACAAAGCCGAATTGGCTTTTATGTACTCATCCACACTTATACTCCTTCAGAAAGTCAAACCATCTTCTGTTGGATTGCTAGTTTATTTGTGACAGAAATAAGGAAACACTTGAAACCTTAGTTCATTCAATGAGTCAATGTTAATCTTTTAGGATCTATCCCACACATATTAAATACTAAAATCACGATTTCCTAAATGTAAGAATTTGCTAGCTTACATATATTTTAAAACTCACCAGATTTGAAGAAAGTTTAAATATTTTTAAACCTATTTCTCCATTTCGATTAGAAGTGTTTGTTAAAAGAGAAAAATCAGATCGATGTATAGATAAAATTGTGTATTTACTAAACTTCTAAACATTGGATCTAAATTCCACAACCACCATACAAATTAATTTTATCAGGGAATTCGGAAAGTCTCACCGACTTTGAAACAACGGAAACACCGTAATACAGTACATGTACTTATAAACAGTCATCTAATAATATATGTAACGATTTATCACATTCTCCATGTTGTAACATGAAATTTAAAATATAAACCACAATTTCTTTACAAAATAACATCCTGATTCCAGGTTAAATAATTATAGATATAATTCCAACGCTGTAATGGGTTCGAGGTATTTATGAATAGTTAATGAGTTCATATTATTAAAATGAGTGAATGGAATATTGATAAATAGATGAACTTATTGATGCATTGTGGTGAAGTGATAAATGCTCAAATATTTGAATAAACGAATACTAAAGACAAGGTCGGTAACCCGACGAATAAATATTTTATCTGACAAAACAACCCTATATATGAAGAACCTACTTATTGCACAAATAAACATGTCTCTCACCAGCAAAAACAGCCTTCACTAAACTTCGTAAGAACAACCTTGAATACCACTATTTAATGATAACTGATAAATCGAAAAGAAACCAACAAATTTTTATAGGAATGTTAGGTTTATCATTATTCAGAGTCTAAGTCTTTATTGATAATCAGAAATGAACTTACAGCGTTTTTAACTGGTAAGCAATAATTCTGAGCATGGAGATCCACACCATTTGTTACAACTCCCTGAGTTTCATACAAAATAAGTAGAATTATTTTACCTCATCATTCATCAAATTATACAAAAAAGAGCACACAAAATGTTTAAGCTTTGAGTGTGATCTTTCACTGAGTTCAATATTCATTTCTTGTACAAATACAGACGTCAATTCATTTAGCGTGCATAAACTACAGATAAAGCATATAATTGTTAAGAAATTAAACTTACGACAACAGTCGGGGATCTTCATTGAGTACAGTTAACAAGAATAATCTCATATGATCACGAATACGTGAACTCATGTTTCGAAATCTCCCAGAAGTTTGCTAGATTTAGGGTAATAAGCAACTCCTAGTAATCTAAGTAGATTTCAATGGTGTATCTAAAACTACAGAATAGTTTGATCAAAATTAAACAACATAATTCAATTGATTTCTATTTTAAAATATGTTAGTGTTATGGTTAACACTAACTGAATTCTACTTATATAACCATTGTCAAGAGCGTACTACTCACTGCCTTCTCGATGGGGGTTTTGTTTACGAAATTGGAAGGATGAAAAGCGGAGGTTCGACTCTTAAACTAAGTTGGTGAGTTCGGAGAACTTACCTATAAGAGTTGGTAAATCCTGGTTCCAAACCAATAGTCACATGGGCACCAGGATCCTGAGGGAACAAATGGCGTATGAACCAATTATTGGTCACCGACTACTATAGGACTCAAACTCCTGACGTTTCTTCAATGCCTTTTGGATTAGACCCATAGGTCAAAGACTCAGGAAATGATCCCTAAGAAAACCACATACCCCTGTTCGGACACCCGCACACATATAAATTCAATGATTTATGTGGACTAATTATATTTTGTCTCCCCTTTGTACCAATGTTTGCGTTCGAAAAAATAAGCAAATTGTACGTCAATGAATAGTCTTAAAGTCACTATCAATTCACATTCAACTATAGGATTACAGTCGAAATTTTCGAATTCAAGCTTAGAACTCCCGATTTCGGTTACGTGATATTCATATAAGTCGACGGCACATACGCCAGATCAGCCGCCACAAGCCATGCACCAATCTCATGAGAACAATTGGATTTTCCAGTTATAACACACTTACTCGGATCTTTGCGAATCATATCGTGCTACAAGTGCTCTGTTTAAAGAGGACGAGGCGGTTACAAAATGAAATATCTTGCATTTCTTGTCAATGAGGAGTTTGGAATCACAAAGAAACGGGAACATAATTCACTATAAAACTGAAGGAAGCGAAGAAAAAGTGCTGAATCGTCAGTATTGCCTCAGAAAGATCCCACATTATTTCGTAGGGGAGATAATACGACACCTGAAGATTAATACTAGCTGACATGTCTTAACTGATTGGAAAAAAGTGACTTACATGTTCACTTTTTTCTGGTCGCCTATGACGTTTTACCACGTTTATTTTGTACCCGTACTTCGTATATAAGCATATTATTTATTGAGTGATAAACTATTCATCTGATTTGTAATCGTCCAGGGGCCTGATTCAATCATACGGTTTCGTGAGTAGCCATCACTCGGTCACATTATATCAGTGAGTCCACCTATCGACTAGCATTCTATTCATTGATTTCGACATTTCGTCCAATCTAATAACAAAAAATCTCCATAACAATAGCAACATCCTAAATGGCAAACTAATGAAACCTGTGATTATATATAAAGGTTACCAGCCGTTGATAACATCATAGCGGAAAGATTGTCATACTGTGGCAACAAAATCTTTTCAATATTACATGATCACCAAACCTAAACTCTCTTAAAGTTAATTATTTTATTTGAGTTCTCGCGAAAAATAATTGTTTTTCGAGAAGATCCTCCGCATAGAAAACAAAACTACATATTTCATACTACCATTGGTAATCTCAAGAAACATATGAAATTTCGTCATTTCCAATAGTTAATATCTGAGTAACAGCTAGTGACTTGATGCTCAAATTAACCTACATAAATCTGAAAAAGGGAAACTATTATGATTACAGACGAATCGAATGTTTTTAATAAAGATGAATTCTGCTTGAAATGGGGAAAATAAGTCATATTCTACACAATTCCTCCGTGGAAAACAGACATGTTTAGTGCAATGTTAACTATATGCATATTTATTTATGCATAAATAAATATGCATTCATGTTACTTCATCACCGTGAAGTTGTGGAGATTTTTTACCATATTAAAGCATACGCCAAATTAAATTTGGGTAATCCCAAAACACAACAAAAATACCAACTAATCTACGTACAGCAGTCGAATATCATGTCTTATTGTTCATAATGTTAATAGGTCCTCTTCTGAAAACCATATAAAAGCAGTCTTTACTGTTTGAGGTCACTGATAATGATAAACTCATGTATATACACAACGTCCGAACTCATTATGTGTTAAAAGATGTCTTTCTATCGCACAAAAACTATAATTTATTTTATTTATTTAGGCACATAAACACTGGTACAAAGAGGAGCCAAAATATGAATACGCTACATAAATCATTGAATTTGAGTGTGTGTGCTGGGTTACTGTCCGCTTTTCATCCTCCCAATTTCGTAAACAACACCCCAAGCAAAACATAACTTTGATGCACCACGGATATTGACGTATAGGCTAAAGTAGTCCACAACAATTATCTTGAAGAATTGGGAAAATGGAGGTGATTCTTTCAATAAACGAGGGAAGTAATGATTGCAAGAGAAATAAAGATGAAGAAACTTAATGATTATGAGAAAATTCTAGGCATCCAATAGAGTGATAATTCCTGACTGCAACACGTCGAAAACGCATACATTATTAAAGTAAATGTACGAAGTAAATTGATTGAACCGTGTGAAGACAACTTCCAAAAATAAATATTAGTCTGCAAGAAACCCCATTCTAAAATGTGCTGAGTTTTGATCTCTAATGGGTTGATGTATTAAAGTTCACTAAAAAAGACAATGAGTTTAGCGTTCGACCCAACTTTTCGACATTTGGAAATCAAACTTACTAGGAATAACGTGTGCCCGATGAAAACACTTTGTTGGGGTCCTTAGTTGATTTCATAGATAGATTGTCCTTATACTTCGTCATGATGAAATTAATTGTAGTATGATAGAGTATTTTAGCTTCATCGGTAGTAAACAGATCTTTTTCGCATATGATTCTGTTAGAGATGCTACAAACTAACTGAATCACGGTAACAAACAAGCCATGTGATTTCATTTTGATGGTAGCTATAAGTCCCCTAAATGATAACATTCTTTGCTTCATATGAACTACAGCATTACCGGTGTCAATCTCCCTATGGCCAAATCTATCGAGCTGATCTCTTTGATAAATATTAAGATCTTTTACCAGTACCATGTTAGAATCCTTGATTATCGAATACTGTCACTGAACATCTTAAAGACATTGATAAAGAGAAGGGGTTTTGTGGATATTATAGTAATTTCAACGGCTGAGATCATGAGTCAGTTGAAGCTAGACCACCATGGAAAATCTGGAAGCACTGGACGACTGTTTCATCCTATTGTGGGACTCCTCAGCGCGAGGTCGTGGGTGCGCACTGCTGAGGAGTCCCACAAAAGGACGAAATGGCCGTCCAGTGTTCCCAGGTTTTCCATGGTGGTCTAGCTTCAACTGACTCATGATCTCAACCATTGATATTGATAAACCTCAGTCGTAGTTTGTCTTAGGAATCGGACTGTCAAATAAAATATTTGAAAAGCCTACGACACTCACCAGTGAAAGGTACAAGATGCATCGCAACTGTTTTTCCACATCAATCCGGAAGACACTAAACTCGTTTCAAGAATTGTATCTATAAGAGAAGTAGAAAGAATAAATATTCCACAAGACGTAGAGGTCTGACCCCAATAAGGCAGACCTGATGATTAACTTATTGACTTTCCTGATAGTGAAAATATGATATTTCAAGGCCGAAATAATTTCAACTTGCAAGAAAATGTTCGGGAAAAAAGCAGAAAACTGACCGATTAGGAAAAATGACTTGTGAAAAGTTCCTGCAGTTTTATTCCGGTTATTTTGATACTGAACTTTTTTAATTTATCCGGGTTTATAAAAGAACTTATGAAACCAGGTAACCAGCATTCACATGAGCTTTCTGAGGTTGATGCTTTCATCGAGCTCAAAAGACTGTTAGAGAATGCTGTTTCAATGCCTTAAATGAAGCGACGTGAAGCAGTGGAAAGTGGGACAAAAGCTCCAGCTATAAAACTGACCAAAACAAGTCCTCAGATTAGCTGGCTACATTTTGGTTCAATATAGGCTGCTTCTGCAGTTAACATAAGGCTTAAGATAGTGAGAAACTAAGAAACTGGAACCGACCTCTTCTGCTGATACGAGCACCCGTGTTGTTAAAACGGCACTTATTGCAAACACCTCTTATGGCATCAATTTGTTGACTTGCAGTAGTTAACATATTTGCAATTCAGGAGTAATGTTTCTTGATGCCATGTGTTTAGATCCAAGAAAATTCAATCACGTGAACGGCCGTAGTTTGAGGATGGCATCACCTTGCAAAGTATATAGAGGGAAGATAATGGCTTGAAACTTGCGATTTCTGAACCGGCCCTCTTTGATACATTGAGCTGACATGAGCCACCACTCATAAATCTCAAATTACTGTAGTGTTTATTACTACATCAAGCTCACTGGTTATTCTAGCTTCCAGACAGATCAATTTATTTATTCTTCTTAAGCTACATTTTGACCTAGTCAATTATTTGATTATTAACTGACTGTTTAAATGTGTATTATTTACCCCATTCACCACATGTCTTTATCTTATTTTGCCTGGTTATAAATATTGAGTAATGCTTAATCAAATCGAGTTAGGATGTTTACTTTCCCCGATCTGCTTTGCCAATGCGTTTCCCTAATTGTCTGTTCGGATCAACGAATGTATGAAATAATTGTATTCAAAATTCATTTTCGTATTTGGCTTATTTTATTACGTTATTCCTTAACGCTAATCACTCGACCGTTGTTGCTACCTTGACGTGGTGGTCGGGCTTGCCTATCGTGATGAAGCAACTGAGCTATACTGGCTGGAACAACCGTTCCTCAAGGTCCTACTATGCCAAACAGGTCGGTTGAAGAGCGGTAAGACTAAAAGCAACAAATCCAAGGTCCGAAGTCGTACTGCTGACTGTACAGAGGTGTGACAGCAGTAAGGTGTTTCCTTCAAACAACCAGCATAACAGCGATGTTGCCTTCCCACAACGAGGGGTAGGGTTAGGAAAGGTCGACCCTAAAAATGCACACCTTGCCTTATTCCACGGACACCCGTCTACGAAGGTGAGGTTTCAACAAATATAGAGCTTTTCGTCGTTTCTGCCTACATTCCCACTGACTGTAGCTCGGATGAAGTGAAAGATGACTTTAAAGAACACTCTCTGAACTTTTTCAGAAAGCTAAACGTTCAGACATAGTACTCGTAGCAGGTGACTTTAATGCCCAGGTAGGTAGCTTAAACGAAACAGAAAGACATTTAGGTGGGTATTTTAGTATTCCGGCACAGAGAACAGATAATGGTGATCGTCTGCTGCAACTGTGATCAGACAATCGTTTATTTTTAGCAAACACTAATTTTAAGCATAAGGAGAGACATCGTCTAACATGGCGACCCCCTGCACCAAATCAACGATGGACTCAAATAGACCATATTGCCATCAGTCATCGTTGAAGAGGGTCGATAGAAGATTGTCGCTCGTTCTGGAATACCTGCTTGGACTCTGACCATGCCCCAACACGAGCACGCATCTGCTTGCGCCTTACTGGACGCAAAAAAGCCACATTAAAACTGAACTGAGTAATGAGAAAACCAAAAGTGGGTTCCAGGAATAACTGAGGTCATACTTAGGTAGTTCTGAAAACGAGGCTGACCTAGATGTTGCTTGGAAAGATATACAAACAGATGTGGAAACAGCAGTGACATCTATTAGTGATTGAAACCAAAGGGTTACAAAGAACCAATGGATTTCTTCTAGGTCTATTGCACTGATGGATTCTCGTAAACTCATCCCATCAGGCTCTGAACACGATGACGAGCGAAAGCAAATCAGATCTAGGTTAACCAAAAGTCTAAGGAACGAGCGTGAGCAGTGGTGGACAACGAAAGCAAAAGAGATGGAAAAGGCGGCGGCTATAGGTAACTCCAGACAGCTCTTCAGACTCATAAAAGAAACTGGAACTAAAAAGTCAGGTGTAAGTGAGACTATCTCGGAAAAAGACAACGTTCTCATCTGCTCCCAGCTCAGACGTTTAGAACGATGGGCGGAACACTTTAAGGAGCAGTTCAGCTAATCTTCAGCTACTCTACAACTACCCTCCATTCCCAGACAGTGTGAATGGAACATTAAAGTAGGCCCTCCGACTCGAGCTGAAGTTCGAAAGGCTATATTTAATCTAAAACGTGGAAGGGCAGCTGGTCCAGATGGGTTGGCTCCAGAGGTCTTTAAAGATAGTGATCCAATTTTAACGACTAGGTTGACTAATATTTTATCTAAAATCTGGGAGTTGGACGTAATCACTTATCGTCTCAATATATAAGGGTCAAAATCATCCTGTGACAACCATAGAAGGATTAGTTTAACTAATATAGCATCTAAAATACTAGCCTCGATAATTATCGGACGCCTAACTAAGACTCGTGAGCTGCAAACACGTGAAAATCAGGCTGGCTTCAGACCTGGTCGTGGCTGCATCGACCACATATTCACCATTCGTCAGGTTCTAGAACACAGGCATACTTATTGGCGTCCGACAATAATGGTCTTCCTTGATCTAAAAGCAGCGTTTGACTCTGTTGACCGAGAGGTTCTGTGGCAGTGTCTGTCATTGAAAGGCGTACCTCAGAAGTACATAAACCTTGTGAAGGCTCTTTACTCGAACACTACTAGTCGGGTCAGAGCCTATGGCGAACTGTCATCTGCTTTTGCAACCTCAAGTGGCGTCCGTCAAGGCTGTCCACTTTCTCCTTTTTTGTTTAACTTCATCATAGATCTACTGATGAAAATAACGCTCTCATCGACTGAATTCTCAGGTATTGATCTCCTATCGGGAGGTCCACTTATCGACCTAGAATACGCAGGTGACATAGTCCTGTTTGGTGAAGACGCTGATAAAATGCGGAGTCTTTTGGTAGCACTGAGCAACAATGCCAGAATGTTTGGGATGCGCTTCTCTCCCTCTAAATGCAATTTGTTGCTTCAGGACTGATCTGCGTCAACACCTGAATTAAGGATAGGGACTGAAGTAGTCGAAAGCGTTGAAAACTTCAATTATCTTGGAAGTCTGATCAGCCCTAATGGGTTGGTGTCTGACGAAATCTCAGCACGGATTCGAAAAGCTCGCTTGGCCTTTGCCAACTTACGTCATGTATGGCGAAGGCGAGATATCGGTCTATCAATTAAGGGACGAGTATACTGCGCGGCAGTTCGTTCTGTTCTACTATACGGTTGCGAAACATGGCCTTTAAGTGTAGAAGAAACTCGTAAGTTACTAATAATCGATCACAGATGTCTCAGAAATATTGCTCGCATCTGCTGGGATCACCGGGTAAGTAATAGTGAGGTTAGACGCAGGGTATTAGAGAATGATGGTAAATCAGTCGATGAGGTTATGAATCTTCATCGACTGGGATGGTTGGGCTACGTGTTACGTATGCCTGAACACCGATTACCACGACGTGCAGTGCTAACCGGTGTTAGGGATGACTGGAAGTTAGGGGTAGCCAAATCAAAACGTGGCATCAGTGCTTGAAGTCACTAACTTCTAGTCTGAGCCATGTTGGTAGGTGCAGACTATTTGGTTGGGGTCCGCGTGACTATCGTAACCAATGGTTGGAGACCCTTGGTGACATGGCTCAGAATCTATCACAATGGCGTCGGTGTATACACTCTCTGTCTTCCTCTAAACTAAGAGATTAAAATCGATTCATATCTTTCTTTCTAGGAACTAATTTTTTATTCCTGTACAATCTCCTTACATACAACCTTTCTTTTATACATTACCACCACTTCTATGAATCCGGTGTTCATCTTGTTGTGCTAATTAGGTATGGCAACTTGGACCGATGCATATATGTGCCTGGTCCTACGTTGCAGCTGACTGACTGACTGAACGAGAATCAAGTAGATAATTGATAGCATGTATACTTCATTAACGTCACTATAAGATCAAACCGGAGTCAGATCAACGGGTCACAAAACTACTCTTGGAAGCCACTAGAGGAGCGCTTTCTTTAAAAATGATAAGGTGAGTTAAATTTGAACTACTGAACATTTGTTGAATCGTAACGATTCGCGGTTTATCAATCCGACATTTAAGTTGATTTCTGATGTTTCTAATGTGCTAGTGTGAAAATTATCGAAAATGGATACAAGCAAAAATAAGAACCCTTGAAAGTACTATCCAGCTAGAACTCTTATCAGTGTCGTTGACAAGTGATTCATTTGGGCTCGACCAAACTCGTGGATGCAGAAAAAAACAATGGTCATTTTTGTTTCATAACGGAAGAAACAACAAAGTACTTGGTAGAAACTTTTCCGTGGTGAATAAAGTCTAGAAAGGACTGTGACAACCGTTTTTGACATGCGTTTAATGGTGCGACTTGATGTTCTTTTTGAAGTCGATAAATGTTCTAGTGAGTGACAAGACGTCACCTGAGTAATGTAATTTCAAAAATACGTTTGTTTAGAACTGGCTAGCTGACATTACTTATGATCTCATTTTATCTCAATAAGCTCGTTATAAGTCGTCATTATCTTTTGGGTATCAACCTGGATTCCACGCACGTGTAAGAGGGGTTCAAGTGTTCCTTCACATACCCTAGTTCATCCAAAATTAAGACGCTGACAGTGGCTCTACAAGGTGTTTATGAAGTAGGGAATTTTGTCACCGAAATTCACCCTCAGTACTATTCAAAAACAATCAATGTACTGACCTGACTTCTACAACAAACCATCAAAGATAAAAGCGGATATTTTCCGATTCTTCTACTTCTTTGTTAAGTGTTTTGAAACATACAGAAGACTAACTTAACACGACTAAGTACTATCGAGATAAACTACTTTGCGAATATAGTTACTTTAATGTAAGACCGTAAAGCACAATCAAGAATTAGTGAAAATATATTTTCTTGGTCTAATACTCACTTTAGGAAGGACAATACTGAATAGTTCTCCCACTTTGTAGCTAATTCTAGTGATTTGTAGTAAGGTCAGAATATACCGTTGAGACTAATCAGTAATGTTTACAATATTCCCAGTACTTAGGATAGATCATCAAACATTGAGATACTCATCATTGCCACCAAATCCCCTGGTACGGCCGAGAGTGGGGTGGGTTCGCCCTTCCTCTCGAAATGCTCTCACACGGCCACATGTATACAGCCTCTGCCAGGGAAGCCCTACTCACTGCCTTCTCGTGGCGGGGGTGTTGTTTACGAAAGTGAGAGGATGAAGAGCGAATGTCCGGCGCTTTAACCAGATCCCAAACCAATGGTGCACATGGGCTCCAGTATCCTGCGGGAACAAATGACGTATGAACCAATAGTTGGTTACCGGCTACCATGGGACTGCATCTCCTTACGATGCTCCACTGCCTTGTGGGTGTGGCCCCCTAAGAAAACCACCTGCTTCGGTTTGGGCACCCGGGCAGTTTCACAGCCTCCCTCAATTGAGATTCGTGTGGCGCATATGTATTTGGTGCCTCCTTGTACCAATATCTATGTGTTAAAATAAATAAATAATAAACTGATATACTCATCACCTTAAGGAATGCAACGACCAACATGGACAATGTGTAAATCCCATTTAGGGATCAGCAAGTGTGAAAACTCATTAGTGCCGTTTGTATTCTTTTTTCCCAATGTCTTAATAAATCAGTTCTTCTGGGAGTTTTTTGGATTCTTACACTGTAGTTAGGAACTAAGACAGCGTGTTTGGTAGGCTACAGAATCCTTACATTGTGTGACATCAACGTAAGTGTGCATAAGTAAGGCAGCGGTGAGACTATAATTCACGGACAACCTTTGAGCAACGCTAGACTGACATTGAGGATGTCCACTTAACAACTAGGGCCAAATGAGTGTTATTAACCTGTGTGAGGAATAGCAACTATAATTTACAGTTGATAACTAAGGTTAGGAATTAGATTTCGGGTTTTCATCGCGAACTGATATCAGATATAGTGCCAAAACTATATATATCTAAATTGGTGAATGAATTTCGCGCCAATATCCGAGACCTGTTATCTTATACGTGATTGGTTCATTCATAAATTATAGTCTCGCCGCATCTACTTAGTTCCCCGTAACTCTAGTTGGTGGTAATCAATAAATGGGTGGCAATCATGCAGTAATCACAGAAGTCACAAGCCTACAACAGAACACTTTCAAACACCTGAAGTAATATTTACTTTTATTCACAAGTTCGGGAACGTCCATTTATAAATCGATTTGCAAATAGCAAAACATACTTGCTAATGCTAATGTTCTCACGTTTACTTAGTACGCAGGCTTATCATTATACTTGGTTCTTTGAAAAAGTACACATTTTGTGGTGGTAATGTCACAATCTACTTTAGGTGCAATCACCATATTATTCATTGAGTCCATATCCAGTGAACTTGTGCAAACTACCTGAAAAAGCTAAACACAGTTGTCATATAAAACTGGAGTTTAACTACAAGAAAATGTCTTTTTTATATATTCAGGTAAACAATTTATCTACAAGCTTACACGAGAATCATGGACAGCAGTGACCTTGACCTCAAACCCAAACTTTCCGCGTCATTGTGAACTAAACAATAACATCTGAACATATTGAATGAGTCCTTAAATGTAAGCAGCTACATTTCATGATAGAACACTTTGGTCAAATATTCCGTTCAAATGGATCAAATGGGTGTGAACGGATCAAAGAGTGTTCAAAGAGCTTGTTTGTTCAGTTTTCAGTCTTCTGCAATAAGGATAGGAGGTCTACCGACCTATATTAATTCTTGTAGTTTGTAACACTGTGGATGTCCAACCTCGTTTTAAATATGTCAACAGAAACAGTTGATATTACGTATTCCGGCAGAGAATCCCAGTAATTCACTACTGGATGCGAGAAACGAAACTCCTGAAGATGCCACAGGTATTCGGAGTTTGACAACGCTTTAATTAGTAACATTTTCTAATATGAAGCGTACCCATCAAGTGAGATCAAAAGACAGAAGCGAGGAGATCGAAGATATATTTGATAAGCTATCAATATATCGAGGATCGTTTGAACTAATCTGGCTAGCGAGTGTGACAGATGTTGAGCACGGCGTTCCCACACGTGATCTGGTGCAGATGCATGACCGAGCGCCTTCAACTAGATGAGTCCACTAAAACTGTGGTCAGCATCCAATGTCGAAAACTTACAGAGCTATTTATGTCGAGGAATCATTTACCGCTACAGATCACTCCGACCCTAGTGTGGTAGTGATGACCCTAAGACGTGGCCAGCCAGAAGTTTAAACCCAACGAGTTTTTCGTTGGTAAACACTCTTCTGATAGCTTTCTAGGTTTAGCAGCGTCTGGTTGTCTTTCCCTACTATAAGGGACCATGATGTACAATATAGTAAAAAAAGAAAAGGTACAATGCAGATTTTCGTTACTCGCAACTTCATCGTTCTTTTTATCTCCTTTTCCATCCGTCCTGGAAAAGAAAAAACATAAGTAAGTGCATGTCGGAATACACTTGTACGCGCGTGAAAACACAAAGCGAGCGGAAAAAATGGAAAATAAACTCATGCTCACGTAATAGCATAAAAAAAAATTTATAATATCGTTTTTCTTGTTTTGTTTTTTTTTTGGAAGTAAAAAACAGTAAAAATATATAACATATTAAATTCGGGGTTTTTAAAAAATAAAATTATATTTAGTACAAGGGAAAATCGAGATGATATAAAATGTACACTTGTATCTTACGTGCAGTAATCGTTCAAATGTTCTGGAAATCTTACTCTTCTTCCAGAACGCTTTGTATGGAGTTTATTTTCTGATACCGCCGAAGTATCAACGTGTGTGTTTGCTGTCGATTGAGGTATTATATGGGCAGGAGTTGTGTCGTGCGATTGTATTGAAGGAAAATCGACGTGAATAGGATTTCCTTCTAAATACGCTGCTTTGAGACGATCGATGCTGATGCTTCCGTTGTTTCCTTGCTTATCGACTATATAGTACTTAGATTCGCGTTGAAGAACTTTGAAAGGTCCTTCATATGTTGATTCGAGAGGTCGTCGATGCGAGTCTCGACGTACGAAGACGTGTGTACTATATCGTAAGTCAGGTTGAACAAAAACATCAGTTGATTGGGGTCGAGTGGAAACAGGTTTAACTGAACGCATTGCGTTTGTAAGCCTGTTCACGTAGGAGGTTAGATCCATGTCCATCGAAGAGGATGAAGGATCCACGAACTCTCCTAGAAGTCGAAGGGTCGTACCATAAACGAGTTGGGACGCAGTGTATCCAATTTCAGCTTTCACTGCATTGCGTATGCCTAGTAAGACTAGTGGAAGAGCGTCAGTCCACTGAGAAATGTTTGAGACTGATAGTGACGCCTTTAGTTGTCGGTGAAAACGTTCTACTAACCCGTTTGCTTGTGGGTGGTAGGCCGTCGTTCGGAAGCGAGTGATTCCTAGTTTCATGGTCAGACAACGGAACAGTTCAGATTCAAACTGACGTCCACGATCTGTAGTAATGGTTGTTGGGCAGCCGAAGTTTGCTACCCACCTCTCGACGAAGGCGCGGGCCACTATTTCAGCAGCAATATCTTTGATGGGTAATGCTTCTGACCATCGAGTAAAACGGTCTACGCATGTTAAAAGATAAGAATATCCATTTGAATCTGGTAAAGGTCCTACCAAATCCAAATGAACATGGTCGAAGCGAGCATCGGGAGTTTTAAACGAACCCAGGGGACATTTGTTGTGTCTAATAACCTTAGATTTCTGGCAGCTTACACAGGAGCGTGCCCACCCCCTCACGTCTTTATTCATACCAGACCAGCAAAACCGTTCTGCTATAAGCTTGATGGTTGCACGAACACCTGGATGAGAAAGACTGTGCAACGTATTAAAGACGTTGCGTCGATATTGTTTCGGCACGATTGGGCGATCCCTACCTGTAAATGTGTCACAAAGTAAGGTTTCCTTACCTGTTCCGATCTGTTCAATGCGCAGTTTAAGTGTTGTTGAGGCCAACTCGTGCTGAAGATCACTGTCTTCTTTTTGAAGTTGGGTGAGTTTTAAAAGGTCGATTCCTTGGGAACTGTTCAAGGAATTTATATGAGACAAAGCGTCTGCAACCACATCGTTTGCTCCAGAATGTGTCGAATATCTGAAGTAAACTGCGAAACGTAGTCCAGTTGTCGAGACTCACGTGGTGAGTACTTGTCTGAAGAAGAGCTTAAGGAGAAAGTAAGAGGTTTATGGTCAGTAAAAATGGCGAATTTGTAGGGGCATTGAGCCGTAACACGAGACAAACTGGAAAATAGACATTCAATATTAAACGCTGGGAAATACCGAACAATGAAGAAAGGTGGGAACAGTGAATTGAATTAGTCCGAGTTCATCGGATGGCATGGCTCGGCCTTGCAGGCGTGGTCCCAGCTGAATGTTATCTTGTATCTTCTATTCATATTAAATATATTCTATCTCTAGCCTAAGCTTGTTCTCTATCACGTATTGGTAATTGTCACAATGCAATGAGTTTGTGTAGACGATGCTGTAACTTCCACGTAAGATCTTATAGATTAGGCAGTTACATCATGATAAATCTACAATTTTAGGATTAGGTCTACTATTAGAGCAGTGATAATATCATAGTAGACCATAATTCTAAATTGGTGACCCCGACTTAAGAAACGCAACCTCTAATTCTTCATCCATATTTCCACTTTAACTTTTTCGATCGATATTTACTTATGTAAACCCATTATTCTAATAGTCCTCTGATTAATGCTCATATGTATTATCTTAACACTATATTGATTATTACTCATAACTTACTAGCTTAATCAATAATAAAAACTGATCATCTACATTAACTAAGTAGCTTTGATGGTTCGTTAACAAGCTTTAATAGCATTAACATGCTTCAGCGAAACAAACTTGTTTTAACATCAAGCTCTAGCAAATATGACCTGTAAATAACCGAAATATACATTAGCTAACGATGCAATCAAGGACTAAATAGTTATCTGGATCTGGTTCTTAGTGTTTTTTCACTTAACACATTCTATTTTCAAACTACAAACTATCCTGCAATATCTTTTCTTCCGACCACTGCCTGCCTAATTTCCAATGGCTGAGTTCTATGGCCAAACAGGATACAAATGCCAGAAATTTACGGTGAGTTTGAACTATAGATTTCCTGCAATCTTAGGTCTCGTTTAGACTGTTCGTCAGGCAATGCTACATATTTGGCTTAAATTAGTTTTGGACTTACACAAATCCAGTTTTCAATGCTGAGTTAATCCAATAATTTAGTCGACAGTATCTCGTGTATAGTCCAGATTCGAATTGCTGTCCAATTCAAATCATCGTTACTTGGAAGCGAAAACAACCCAGGAGAGTTTTACTTTTTCCCTTTCCTGGTTCATTTATTATGATTTAAGTACTTCTTAACTTAGATTTTTTCTGTTAGACTGGTTTTGTATATTTCATACGAGCCACTCCAAAGCCCTGTTTATTATTTTTAATTTGCCATATATCTCAACAACCTGCATGTTAATCT